AAACAAGCTAGGTACGTTAAAGGAGAGTGTTTTTGATCTGAAGAGAAATATGGTCCGGGGCATAAATGCAAAACAAGCTCGTTACAATTGCTGGAGGCTGGTGATCAGAATACTAAAGATTCAAGGACAAGTGAAGAAGAAGCTGAAGAGATAGCTGAAATTAGCATGCACGCCATCACGGGTATGCCGCATGACTCAGCTTTGGTTGTCCATGGATACATCAATTCGTCGCAAGTGTCAGTTCTAAACTTCTAATCGACTGTGGCTCAACCCATAAATTTATTTTTGATTCCTTGGTTCCTAAGGTCAGCTTATTAACCCACGAAATTGCTCCCTTTGAGAGTTTGGGGTCAGAATTTGCAATGGAGACATCATCCATTGCAACCGAATCTGTAAGAATGTTTTGCTGCACATATCTATCTCCACATGACTCAAGATTTCTATCCTTTTCACTGGGGTGGGGATGTGATCCTTGGTTTACAGTGGTTGGCTACACTGAACACAGTACAGGCTAATTGGAGTAAAATGTTCCTGACATTTACTATAGAAGGTCAAGATTATAAGCTGCAAGGAATGACATCTGAGACTCATAATTCAGCAGCTTTTCATCACCTCACCATCGAACCATTCGAGGAAGACTAATCGGGAGGTTCGGGTCAGTGGTTTAGTAGCCGACTTGAGGACAAGTCCCTTTCCAGGGAGGATGCATTGATACGGGTCAGAGGAATTAAAGGGAAAACAGCCAAGTGGAGTTAGTGGGTGAATGGGTCAGATATTATTTAGGGAAAACTGCAGCATAACTGCTTCTGTTCTTTGTAATTATGTTAGTAGTCTAGGATCTCTAAGGTTGTCAGATTTTTTTGAATTGCCTAAATACAAATCTGTACAGGAGATTTGCCCCACTCGAAGAGGGCCGACTAGTGAAATTTATCATTGTTTGCATTGTAATTTTCTGGTTCTTATCAGGTCTCACAAGTAATTACAGATTTTATACCCTTTCACATAAGATGCTTCTTAGGAGCGATACATAATTGGAAAATACCTTCCCAGAATATAAAACGTCGAACTGGAAACCAGTACCAACCAAGGGAACTTTTCCCCAACACAAAGCTTCAGCAATCCCTCGAAGATCGTCTGACAATCCCAACTTTGCTGCTTTAAGAAAACTTTCTCCGGGGTTCTGCATACAGTTAAAATACACATTATGGATCAACTGATATAATAACTACAGATTACAGATTACTAGCGGGAGTGTTAAAGACATTACTGAAAAGATTGCTTGAGTGAATGGTGTAGAGAAACCATTTTCTTTTCTTTGACGTGACAGGCCATTTGAACTCAAAGCAAGAAATTGTCCAGAGGATGACAGACAGTCAGTAGTAAGAACCAAGTGTTCCGGTAGGATGATCTTGCCAGTATCTGATATTGCAGAACTTAGACCCTGCGGATCGGAGGTGCATCAAAATTATGTACATTAATAATTCCAGGTGAGTTGACAAAAGTTTTAAAACCTAACCTAGTTGTAGACTCTTAGTGAGATCAGATTGAATATATAGTTCAACAAGAACAATCTAAACTCATTACAACTCGGTTTGGGTTACATCAGACAACCATTCTGTGCACCTAAGAACAAAGAAGGATACTAGTGGGGAAGAATTAGATTCCGAACATGGTTCCACAACTCACACTTAAAAAGGACTTCCAAGCAACGTCTATCCCATAGGCTACAGAGATGTCATCTATATCATCTGGACGACTACGTTCCCAGTCAATCATTTTCATTATTTGAAGGCAGCTGTCCACAAGAATGCTCCAAAATTGAGTCCTGTCACAGTTCTCTGACATGAAAACCTTCAAATAAAGCTCTCCGGGGGGGCTTCTATTGTTTGACGACTTCAATAAAATTGGTGCTTCCTCCCGCCATAAGATATCCACCCTTTTGAACGCAGAGAATCCTGTATATCAAGTCCTAACTCCATGAGTATTACTGTGTAATTCCCAACAAACATGAAATACACACTACAACAAGGGTGAACACAATTCATAATAGTCATAACACATAATCACCCTTAATCCCAACTATTGGAGTCAGTGGTATGAAATTTATGGTTCCAATTAACCGTCACACATTAGTGAACCTTAGCAACTACGTATTGCTTTTAAATGTGTCCCCTATACCTTACCCAAAAAAAATGTGGGGTTGGTTAGGGTGCAAATATTTCTCAACATGAAGACAGAAAATGAAAACCAGTCAAGCGCAATGAAAAACATAGGACTCAAGTTTAATAACTGAAACCTTTAACTACTGTTCTGAGGAGGAATGGTATCACAAAATCACGAAGGATGTCCAGCCCCAGATATGGATCTTTAGAAATCCCAACAACCGCAGCTGTAATGCATAAGTTTGAGTTTTCCTTGGACGTGTCAGCATCAAAACAATCCCTATTTAAAAACAACAAAGATGGGTTGGCCCCCTCAAAAGAATTTCAAGTACACCTGTATCGCTAAGGCAACTGCATTTAAAGAAAACTCATCCCAACACAATACACACTACTAACTACTAAGTCCTAACCCACTTAAATAACGTCTTACATGCATGTTATCTGCAGATTTGGAAGGTCAGATTTTGCTTTTACTTTGATGGCTGTGTAACTCATGTTCAGAGCATCACAAATGGATTGTAAGTGCAGTCTTCTCCTCTTTGCAATTTCCTGAAAAAAGAGAGAATGAAACTTCATCAACACACACCAAAAGTACACATGTGTGTACAAAACTGTAGTTACCTTAATTATGTGAAAATGGCAAACCCAAGGACTACTGCGGCTACCTCTGCATGTCTCCCGGGAGAAGCTTAAATAATGGAAAGCATAAGTACGAAGAGAAAATAATCAAAATTATAAAATGTTTCAGAAATGGTACAATAGCAAGAAATGGAATGTGCAGAAAATTACCATATCATTACTTCAGAAACAAGGTCAGAAAACAGAAGTCTTTCCAAATGATTTTTCACTTCTAGAGCTCCATATTCAAATCCATAAACCCACCTTCCAAGCATCTTTGACAAGTACATTGATGCTGTTTTTTCACAACTACTTTTTCTTGCCCCTGACTCCAGCACTTCCTGTAAATTTTGTTGAGTAAAGGAAAAAAACATCAAAATAAAAACAATCAGTATTAAAACATAAATTTCTTGATGTCAGAGAAAAGCTAATAGACAGGGGTATTGAAAGCCATGAACTAGAAAAGGTATCAGGAAACAACTCGCTTTAGACAGGAAACAGTTCACTTTAGACATTACAATACATATACATGGATATGTGCACAAGTGTACATTATCCTATCTTGTACAGGTTATAGGACCTTCTTAAAAGGAATATATATATATATATATATATATATATATATATATATATATATGTTATGGACTGAAACCATTGCAAGGTATGGGACTTGTCCCACATCGGTTGTATGGGCAATTGATGTGGGGTTTTTAGGCCAAATGAGTTCCCTCACCTATCAGACTAGTCTTTTGGGTTGAGTTCTTCTGTTTGGTTTGTAACAGTGGTATCAGAGCAAACGGAAGAACTCAACCCAAAAGACTAGTCTGATAGGTGAGGGAACTCATTTGGCCTAAAAACCCCACATCAATTGCCCATACAACCGATGTGGGACAAGTCCCATACCTTGCAATGGTTTCAGTCCATAACAATATATATATATTTGTGTGTGTGTGTGTGGAGAGAGAGAGAGAGAGAGAGAACCTTAAGGTTCAGCAGTGGTGATGACTCGAGTGCACTGATGGGTTGATCCAAAGCACTGTATGCAGCCTCAGAAATAGCACTAGCAGCCAATGAACCAACAGGGTGGCCGCCCAATGCATTTGATTTTTGCTTACTGTAGTAAGAGAACTGCACAACTTGGTTTCCATAAACATTTCTCACAGTTCCATCATATCCAATGCAAAGATCACGCATGAAAAACATGAGTTTGCGAGTAAGAGTACCAGAAACATCTGCATGCCCACTAAACGAAGTCTCCCTAGTTGTTAGCGAGTGCACATAGCACTCCAGAGGGTTTAAACCTGTGACGAAAGAGTTTTCCACCACAGCAGAAGGGATGTAAGTACCAGGGTATTCTGGAAGATAATGAGGATGGTTCTTTTCATCATTCCATGCAGCACAAGAAAGCTGATGGGGTATTTTAAAGGACAATGGAACCAGAGAATGCTGTAAACCAAGACACATGCTCTGCTGTACCAATTTTAAAACGTTACCCTTACTCCCAGCCTTTAGCATAGCCAGAAACGAGTTGTCGTTGTTAGCATACTGATAAAGTAAACTTTGGATATCCCTAAACACCTTTTTAAAAGAACAAACATAAGACTGACTAAGCATTGCTGACTTTTGTTTTTCAAAAGACAATCGCTCAAAGCTAAAACCTATTGAAGGTTTATTTTCTTCAGATATCCCGACAAGGAAATCTTGATTTTTATCCACCATGAGTGTTGTTATAAGTGAAAGTCTTTCAGCCTCTTTCAACCCACATGAGATTTCGGTGACCATATTCTTTCGGGAGGATTGATCGGAGCAGAGACAAAGATCATATAAAGAAACACTTAATCCCTTCATTGACAACCACTCGCTTAAAACTTCCTGCGCAGAAAACAGGAAATGAAGAACCTGATCTCCATAATGCTTGATAAAACTACGGATAAGATTTCCATCTGTATCACGTAGCCAAGAAGATCCATTACAAGATAGAATTTCTCCTTTCCTGATACATGCACCATTATTATTGGATGGGAAAACGTAATCAAAATCTGATGGCAAGAGCAGACTGAGTAACTGTTTTCCAGTCCAATAACAAGACCCATTTGATAACACTTTAAAGATAGCTGGTGTTGGCAACTGCCCAGGGCAAGACATCTGAAGCTGTTGAATCTGGAACCTGTTCAATATGACCCCATCTTCCAGAACCAAATGAGCTGCAGTCAAGCTGTCATGGCTTAGTGCCAACAGGTTTTTCCCACTCTGTCCATCAATCAGTTGTTGGTCTAGACCAACAAGCTCCCTGAGCTCCACTCTCGAGTCCATTGATTGGGGGACATAACCATGAAGGCAATCACCATCGAAATCCCCGCGAAAAGGAGAACATATAAGAGGGTTTATAGAAAGAGCTGAAGTTGTAGGAAGAATTCTGACAGAAAGGGCAATAAGAGAGTGGTGATGAATGGAAGGAGGTCGGTTTATTAACACAACATCTCCATCAGCAAGAGGTCTATATATGACATCTCCTTTCTGCAATTTGTCACACATGCTAATACGAACTAAGTCATCATTTCTGCGAACAAGAACCCATCCCTTCTGAAGAATCATCAGATCACAGTGCTCAGTTAACTTTTTAGAATTCCATGAATTCAGATGTTCAGCTATCCGTAGGCTATCTGCAACATGACTTGGAATGCCAACTTCAAATAGCTTTAACTGGGGATCGCCGACCACCACCAAGCGGAAGGCGTGATTACTTCTCTTGGCAATGATAAGTTCTTTCAAAAACTTTAAGCCAGATGCACTGAATTCAGGGTCTATAAATGCTTGCCTTTCAGCACGCAGCTGCAAAAATTAGGTATGCATGTGTGTTTGAGAAAAAAACATCCTCAAAATTATATTTATAAAAAGAAAATTAAGATATCAAATGGGTCATTCTTGCATTTTTTAACCTTTGAAAGCTTGATGCGTTCAATAAGGTGCATGCTTAAGTCACTGGGAGTCCCTCTAAAGTCAATCAGCTTTCTGTAAAGCCGATTACTTTCGTCCTAAACATTAAGCAGAAGAAGCATGTGAAGGACAATGTGCAACAAAAATATGTAAGTAATTTGCCTCAGGTTGAAATTAAGTTAATGGTGTGAACAGTGACATGTCTCACTTACGAATAGCATATGGTGCCCCAATTCTGTGACACGATGACAATTAGGGGTCAAAAGGAAACAATTCAGGAAGATCGAATTCTTCCTTTTGAGAAATGCCTCAATAAGTCGCGAATCAACATCTTTCAGGAGACTATAAACCTGAGAAAATAACAGCAACATAAATTTTAAGATGCATGATAGAAATAGAGAAAAGTAGGGCAAAGAAATTCTCAAATATCATCTGCAGTGCAACAAATTTTAATGGAAAGCTTATAAAGAGACAAAGATGGGCAGCAGCACATGAATGTACAAAATAGATGTTGCTTATTTTGTGGTAGAAAGTGCAGGTAAAGCCACTAGAACAATTCACATCAACCAGCTTAACACACACATACATCAACTTTTATGTCTATATTCCCTTCATTCCCTCCATAAATGAGCAAGAAAATGCAACTATCACCTTATAGTTAAAGCAGATTGAATTGTCAGAACATGATGATTATTCAGTTCCATATCATTTACTTTGTTTCTTTAAAAAGGACCTTAAAAGGACAAGAAATGCATTTAAATATCGTTGAATAAAAAAGATGGCACATTCCAGCTAACAAAATAAGAAATTAACACCACCACCAACAACAACCAGCCCACTAAAATCCGATGAGTGGGGTCTGGGAGCGGTGGTAGGTGTATGCAGACATTACCCCTACCTAAAAATGATAGAGGTTTTTGATGGATCCCTGGAAGCCGAATAAGGGAATCGGGATATTCTTATAAGCAAATTTTTTAGGATATATAAAAATTTCCACTGCTTCATAGTGAGTTGCATTTAGGCAATATCATAATCATAATCATAAAATTCCTGCGACCTACAACTTCAATCCTTACTCCTCTAAATGTGTTGAAAAAGAAAAAGTATATGAAGAATTTGATACTGAGTAAAAGAGTTGTGAATCAAAGAGGTAAGTAGTAAGGAGGAAAGTGATAAGTGATAAGAAAAGCTACCTGTCCATGTGATAGAACTTTTTTTTTCGATTGATGGGAACTTTCATCCTGACCTGCATCATTTGGAATTACATCCCAATAATCAGAAGCCAAACTTCCCCCTGAGTTTATATTTGGAAACTTCCTCCATAACTTTTCATTCACTTCGGCTATAATTGCGGGTTTCACGAACTTGTTGTTGGAACATAATATAAATCTCATTGGCGGATAATCTTTTGAAGTTCCCTGTGTGTTAGAGAGAGCAAAAAATTGGAAGCAATGACGTAATTGGTAAACAATTTAGTAATAGCCTATCAAACTTACATCACAATACTTGCACTTTGCATGCTGCCTATGCATTGATATGGAACCAACAATCTGACAACAGAAACACAATAGACTATCAGCACAAGAGCAATATGTGATGAAAAATTATTTAAATAACATAAGTATTGACTAACACCAATTGCCCCTCCACCCCTAAGCCACCCACACATACAAAGAAAATGAAGGGGAAAAATAAAACATATATAAATAAAAGCAACCACAGATACAAAGTAAAGGTTTTCATTATTTAAAATAAATATTTGGTACTGTTTCCCTCAATAATAAAAAAAAAGTGGAAACATTTTCATGGATCTACATCTTGCACCCTTGACTCCCCCATGGGACAAGTGCCTAAAAATAATGTATTTTCATATTACTCCCTCAGTCCCAAAAAGAACACGACCTTGCATTTTACTATGCTTGATTGATGTAATTTTCAATTCATTTTATTTCAATGTTGGTGCAAATAGTTTGAGCCGGGGGCCTCTCAAAAACAACCTCTATACTCCCGATTAAGGGTAGGCCTACATACACACCCTCCATAGACCCTATTTTTGTGGGATTTTACGGGGTTTGTTTTTCTATTGGTGCAAAACTTATATATATGATTGTTGTTTTCACAAATGATCAATGAAAAATGAAAGGAGAGAGATATAGTTTGACCCTATAGATAGGAAACACAAAAATCTTTTTCGGACGCAATTGCTTGAAATTCATTAATGTAGTGATTGGAAACTAAGAATTCATATGCATTCTTGGATTTCAATTCTAAAATTTGAACTCTTGGATTTCAAATTACAAGGGTATCGATTTGTAATTGGGCTTTGTTGGGAATTAGGGGAATTGGCCCAAATCCAACGTTTTATGGATTCCCAAACATGTAATTTGGATCAAGTTTGGCATTGAAATTAAAATTTAAGTTCCCAACCAGGCCATAAAGTTATTGACATTGTGGAATAGTTTGTGTATTATCCAATATATTATCCAAGTCTTAGTGACACTAGAATGAAACAGGCACTATAAGTTTTTTTCTTACCCCTTGCTACATAAACATAAAGATTAATTATAAAGTTGAAATTGTCTAGGATTTGTGCCGAGTACTTAGATAAATCCGTATCAGGAATGACACTATTACATATTACGGAGTAATTTTTTGGAGGTCATCAGGACATTAAGTGTCTTTATATAGAACAACTATGTTAAATTATATTATTGATTTATGCCACCTGTGGTTAAAATTTTAGCAATGTAAAAATCTGTGTGCACGCTTTTTGCCTTTGCCGAGACTTGGAAGCAGGTCTGGTACATTTTGTGACAGAGAAGATACTCTCGGTTTGTGACAATGCTGGTTTCATTTTCCATGTTTGTCACATAATCATACACACCACGATCTCTAAAGCCAAGATCACAATTCAACAGAAGCACAGCAAAAAAAGTTAAAAAAATAATAACATGCGGAAAGATAACTCTGTTAGGTTCTTCAAAGTGAACTAAGGTGTCAGTTTTGCAACACAAATCAAAGTAGAATTTGAGAGCACTAAAATTAGATGATCAACCACAGTGGCACAACCTTATCTGCAATGTCACCTAACACAGCTGTAGGTTTCATTACAAAGTGTGTAGTACCTGACCTTGACCTTATCAGACCGAGCTGATTTACACCCTGGGCAAATTTTATTGAGAACTCGTGCAGCTTCTGATATGAAGTATGGATTAATAATTGTGTAAGGGAAGTTTATCAAACCAAAATGGCCTGCAAAAGAAAAATCATGGGTATGACAATAAATACATGCCGCATCTGCTTATATGCCAATACTAAGTTTCTTTACACACCTTCACATGCTTTCACGTGTTTTGCCCCACATGTATGGCACTCAGAAACTGGATTTGGCAGTCCTAATGCAGGATCTGTCACTTCCTGCACTAGTTCTATTACCTTGGCTGAAATTTTGGCCTATACAAGTAGCATGGAATTAATAAATTCTTTAAGAGAAATAAACTACAGAAATAACATCCTACCACTTGAAGATACTTTCAAAATGAGACAGAAAAAACATAAAGAATTCTCCTTAGGTTCACCGTTTATATAGAAGCTAATTTACATTGTCAGAAAACCAATCTCTTGGTTTGAGGAACTTGGTTTACACAGGGAAAAAAGCAAGAGGAATAAATACAATTTTGAAATATAGGGGAAGATACAATTTTGAAATATAGGGGAAGATGAAATGAAAAACATGTCCTAAAGGAACTTAACAAAATTATATTTTACAATATATTTCAACAGTAGAATGTTTAGGGCCCTCCTAAAAAATATAGAAGACATCCAAAAATTAATCACTAAATTCGGTAAATGTTGTGCTGATTTATTTGGATAAAACGTGTCCCGAATGATATGATAATCAACTTCTACATGGTTAGCTCCGTCATGAAAAAGAGGAATCAACTCAATGTGTAGAGTTGCTTGATCATGACAAATTAATTTCATTGAACTTACTACACAATACCTCAGTTCATGGAGTAAAACTTTTTGCAAGAGGAGTTCATATGGAACATGTGGCATTAAGTATAGTGTATCTTTAAAAACGTGACATGAGCTTAAGTATCGAAACACACATGAAAGATGAATAAGATTGTAAATAACTCAAGAACACACATTTAATGGTTCATGCAACACGTACCTCAACACCAGGATCAACATTGTGAACAAAACAAGTTGAACAAAAACATGCAAAGGGACAATACAGAACAATCTTGGAGCAGGTTTTAGCACTTCAGTGTAATTATATTAGTTATATAAGAGTAAGAAAGTTATCATATACTCACAGCATCTGATCCGGAGAGGATATTAAAATTAATTCCCCTCAAGACACCTGACGAAACTGGGTACTCAATATGTAGATCATGCTCCATCAAAGCTCACAGGCTTTTGTTCTGGAAAAAAAATAGTCTACACCACGACATAATCTTCTAAGAGATTCATGATACCAGCTCAAAAATGTACTGCAACAAATTAGAGTACTACAACCTACAATTAGAACAGCTGGATGATACCTCTAGCCTTGCTGGTAACTCTTGGTTAATACTCTCCCCGTCCTTTGTTTGACTTTCACGTAGTTTAAGAAAAGTGTTGTAAAGTAAAAATTTTATGGTTACAATTTATTTAGAGAGAGGCTGATTGTGAGCCACCCATTTCTGTCTTTAAAAGAAAATAGAAATAGTGTGAATTTTTCTTTGGGAGGTGGGAAGGGTGAAGCTTTTTGTGGGACGTAGGGAGTACAACTGTTGATTGAGAAACCATAGACATCATAAAGAAGATATCTTCAGTTCTTGCACCTGTTGCAAGAAATCATTCGATAGACTCACTTAGAGGTAAGCTTGTGAAAATAATAAAATATCCATCCATATCGATTACGACGCATTCTAAAGAATAAATATTGCAATTCATTTCACACGCCATGAATGCCAGATTTCAGTTCATTTCCCAATGCCAAGACAATTAACTATTGTGACACAATCCATTTTTACATTCCACGAGATTATGGCTAACAGGTAATAATTTTAGTACAAAAAGCAGAAATAAATGACATTCTATTGAATACCAACTTCAACAGAGACCAAACAATTGATCAAATTACCAAAGATAGGATTTTTACCACTTGAACTATAAAACAAAAAATCATTACCTGAGACCACCCTAGTGCGTGAGTGACTAATTAACAAATTGTATCTATGTAAGTATTGTTCTTAATTCCACTGCCAATTCCAGTATGTTTTCAAATCAGAAGATAAAAACACAGTTCCTTAAGCTCAAAACTTCATGCACAGTACATCCATCGGTCAGAGTGGCTCTCAAAGTTCAGACAAAATGATTGAAGCCTTCACTCAGTAAGAAACGGAAAGAAAGCAAGCTACATTGTATAGAACCTGTGCACTCTTACCTATAAGGGGGGATATGATTGGCAAAAGAAAAATGGGCCGATATGCACATGAGAAGAAACAACCTCAGTCATCATCAACAACAACCGAGTATAATAACCCTAGACCTCTCCAAACAAGGGTCGGCCCGTTCGGCCCGCCCAGCCCGCCCTTAAAAAAGTGTGGATATGGACAACTTTTAATACCCAAATGGGCGGGCCGGCCCAAGCCCGAATTGTATATGGGCGAATCTGGAAGTTACTTTTAGCCCATCTGGGCCAACAGGCCCGCCCATATTCATCAAATATATTTACTTTATTATTAATTACCTAGCCAATATAAATTTTAAAATTTTCTATAATTCATGTATAATAGTTTAATTCACTCACCTCTTTTAAACAAAAATCAATACTCTTTTAATGAATCAATATCATGGGTTTATTAATTATGCAACAAAGAGTTAATTATGCTTTCTATATAAATGTGGTGACTGATTATTTTATTTTAAACATTAAAAAAGAGTTCAATGTTTTTTTTAAATTTTTTGTACAAAAAAAAATTCTTGATGTTTTATCCGGGCCGGGCGGCCCGGTGGGTAGTTCGGCCCGCAAAGATGGGCGGGTATGGGTAAGGAATTTAGCCCATCAAATCCGGGCCGGGCCAGGCCCGCCCATGTAAATGGGCTAACAATTTATATCAAGCCCGACCCAGATCCGGCCCGGATCTTATTTGCACAGGTCTAAATTATAACCCCTATACAAACAAGGAGAATGTTTTCATTCGATCCTTGATGCACTGTACTATTTACCATCTAAAAATTCATAAAAAGTAAGAAGCAAAGAAAATTAAGAGTCATTTTGATTTACTCCCATGTTTACCGAAATCTAAAACATTATCAATAATGACTACACATTTAGCCCCATTGGCAATGGATTTTTATATTCGTATATAATGAAACAACAATGATGACAATCATTCTAAGGGTTCTCATAGTTGTGAAAGATGCACCTAAGGCGTGATGCGCACGAGACACAAAAAGGTTGGGCATTGATAAAATTTAGGATGGGTATGGACAACTGAATTGTGAATAAGACACTTGAGCTAAACCACATTAAAAGATTGAATCCAATCGATTAGTTAGTTCAACTCAAGAGCTTATATATCGATTATTTTACTCTTGGACTTTTGATGTGGGATGACACTCTTACACTCCCCCTCAAGTGGACAACCGGGCCATTTTGAATCTAACCGGTTGACCACTTGCAAATAAACTCTCATTCCCTTGAATTATTATTTTTTTTAGCACCAACACCTAAAGGACCACGAGCCGCTGGATATGGACTTTCAGACGAGCAATCGTGTTAAACCGGCCACAAGTCGTTGGGTACATACTCCATACGGACAACTGGGCTAAAGACTAACGGGCCGCTAGGAATTAACTTCTAGACGGATACCTTGACAAACGAGGTGGGCCAAAACCTGCTCTGATACCATGATAGAATTTAGAATGAGTATGGACAACTGGATTGAAAATAAGACACTTGAGCTGAACCACATTAAAAGATTGAATCCAATCGATTAGTTAGTTCAACTCAAGAGCTTATATACCGATTATTTTATTCTTAGACTTCCGAAGTGGGATGACACTCTTACAGGCATCAAGCTACTTGGTGCGAGCAACGTCCCTGATGTGGGTTGTGTGCATACTTGCGCATTGAGCATACTTGCACAATATCGCATACTGTGATGCGTTTGAAAGGCATGCCTCAAGAAAACTTACAACTTTTATTTAACTTTATAAAAGGTGGTGTTACATTAAAAAACAGACCCCATTCCATACGTGACTCCTTAAATCTCTCGACTCTACAACGTCGTCACCCCTCACCGCTACAAGGTACTCCCTCAGTTCTTAAATGATTGTCCATTATGACTTCCTATACAACAACAACAACATTACCCCAGTGTCTCAAAGGCTCTCGCCCATTGCGAGGTAAGGGGGGTTGAATGTACGCAACTTGATCCCTATGTTAAAACTATAGAGCGGCTATTTCTGCATGACCCATGATGAGCGTCATAGTTGCATTGAGTAACTGCTACTTCACTTTTGAAAGAAGCACATACAATTAAAGAGTCATTTTGCTTTATTCCATCATATCCCATAGCCAAAAAATAATGAATCTTTGGCTCCACCAGAGATGATGGAAACAATGTATGTCCACATTCCATCATTTTTAATGAATGTAAAAATTCATAATGAACAATTATTTAAGAATGGAGTTATGGAGGAAATATACTTCTTCGTCATCCATCTCCTTTTCTTTCTTTTTACGGTTTCCTCTACTTTCTTGAGGTTTCATGTTTCATATTAAGGGCTGTAGTTATGATATACTTCTTCAAGAATGGAACAATCTCTCGAGTTGGAAACAAAAGCACCAAATTCTAAAGACCTGGGATGAAAGTATGCTCACTAAAAACAAATAGAAATGATTCAATTTGCCTTTTTGTAACAAAATCACTAAAGAGGTATTTGTCGTGCAAAAGGACATATTGTTGGAGGGTTTAAAAATGCAAAGGGATGAGGCTTAAAATGTCCTCCATCTGTTAGATATCCGGGAGCGTCAACAAAGACTTTCCTTAGTCCACAAAAGGAAAAACAAATCAGGAGAATGAAGCCAATGTGTGGTGACTTTAATTGGGTTGAATTCATTCCTTTTTCCTATCTTGAAGCCCAAACCAACACCATTGTTGTCCTACATCCCACTTAGGCCGAACCATCTAAACCCCAAACCATCCCTAAACATTCAAACCGCCTTGTCTTTTATTCCCTTTCAAATAAAGTCTTCCTCCACTTATTTTAAGTCTCTTGACCGAAAATAAGAAGAAGACAAACCAAAAACCTTTTTTTGTTGTTCTTAAACTTTAAGTAATCAAATAACACACTTCCCCTCCTCTTCCTACATTATGGACGAAAGGTCCATCTCCCTAATCCCCCCCATTATCTCTTCAACGAAATAATGTATAATTGGCCAAAATTAATGTCAAACCATAAACCAAATCAGGCCCTCCTTTGGCCTAATTATAGGCCCCAAAACATGCTCCCTTTTGTTCACCACCATAACCACCAAATGTGCTTCCTTGTGCTCCCCACTTTGGCCAAACAAACACCCACAAAAGGCCAAAAGAACCTGACCCGCCACCAACCATATCAACCAGCCCTTGTTCCCCACTCATGGTCTAAAGCATAAGTCCAAATTAGCCTATCAATCTCCCCCTTTTGCTCCCC